TCCGGGGGGGTGTCCTTGGAGACCCCAACTCCASCCCCATCTCCAGCACAGGCCTCAGGAGGCAGGTCCAGAGCACCCCAACCCCAGCAGCTCTGTGCCTTCCCTGCTCTGCTGAACTTCCTGACTGATCTGGAATGTTCTCTGTGCTTTGGCCAGTGACCAAAACTCCCTCCCTCCCCTGCCATCTCTGGGTGAAAGGAGGCCGCTTACCCTTCTCCCTTGGCGGGAGGCGTGGCTGGGACTTGATGGAGTGCTCCTGCCCATGCCCAGGCCCGTGTCAGCAGGCTCTGAACTCTAAGTGGACTCAGGAAAAGGTCATCAGGACCAGGGGCTCAGATGAGAGCCCAGCTGTGGAGCCCTCGCTGCCACCAGGTCCCTCGGAGGGCTTTACCTGTGCCAACTCTGTCTTCCCAGCAGCCCGTGAGATGGGCCTTAATGGTTCCTGAAGAAATGCGGGGACGGAGGTGCAGTCTTCTCTGGGGCTCCTTGGCTCCTAAGTGGTATCTCAGGCTCCATCCTGGGCAGGCCGGCTCCAGACTGYCCCCTTCAACACCCGCGCCAGCCGCTACAGGGAGGGCAGGCAGGGGCCCTGGGAGTCAGCCCAGCCCCGCTGAGGTTTCAGGGCCGGCAGGGCTGGGTTTAGCCGTCTGCCGAGGGAGCATGAGCGTCACACTCTCATTTGAATCCCAGCTCTGCTGCCACTAAGTGACCTGGACAGGCCTCCCTACCACTCTCCTCCCCAGTTAAATGGTACCTCCAGGTAGGAGTCCTGGGGTTTGGATACATTCTCCTAGAAGGATGTTTCTGGGTACCTGGCCGGGGTTGGGGGCTCCTGCAGTTCCTTGAGACCCATTGACGTGGCCCAAGAACTGCTCTCCCATGCACCACAGCCCAAACTTCCAGCAACTGTGTCCTTGGCCACTCGGGGATAATGACTGGCCTCACCCCGCCCCACCCAGGAGGCTCACTGCCTCCCTTCTAGCCCAGGAATGGCTGCCCCCTGGAGACTGCTGAGTGGCCACAAGCACAGCTTCACAGTCAGCCCTGGGTTCTGATCTAGTATCAGTCAAATGGAGCTGTGTGACCTGGAGTAAGAGGCTTAACCTCTCTGAGTCTTCATTTCTGCATGGCCCCTGGGTCCTTGAACAGAGGCCCAGAGAGGACTAGTAGGTCACATGACCTAGAAAAGGCCATTTGCCGGTTTATCAGGCTTTGGTCTGGTTGGGGGTCCTACCTTGCTGGTCCTCAAGAAGTGCAGGCACCATGATGCCTGCCCAGCCCCGTAGCCCAGGCTATTCTCCAAGACCTGCTAGAGCCCTGACCACATTGCCCTGGAATTTTCTGACCTGCCCTGAGGGGGCTCACACCTCCCCTCTAAGGGATAGACTTGACTGGAAGACCCTTGGACAGGCCTGGACTGGTGCACCCCCTCGGTGCCTGTGCAGGCCTGGGTCAGACAGGACCAAGGAGGCCGATGAGTGCCCAGCACTCAGCTTCTAGCTCCAGGTGGTGGCCACAGAAGAGATGGGAGGGGGAGGGAAGGGCTGGGAGGGAGGAAATCCTGGGACCAGAGGCTTGTGTGTGCGCGAGGCCTGCGTGTGCACGTCGCGTGTCGAGGCCTGGTGCTCACGCGGGCTGTGGCTGGGCCTGCTTCCGGGAGTCCAGATCTGACTTGCAGGGGTGTTTGGGTGGGTGGGTCTGCGTGTGTGTGCCCTGTGGAGGGCACAGCCTTGCAAAAGAGCAGAGAGCACCCAGCTCCCCTTACAAGAGGTCCTAAAGGAATCAGACTCACAGGGACAGAGAAGAGGGTGGGCCTTGCCAGGGCTGGGGAGGAGGGAGTGGGGAGGTAGTGTTTCAGCTGGGAAAGGTGAAGTTCTGGAAATGGACGGTGGTAACCGTTACCCAGCACAGGTGAACATACTTAATGCCAGTGAGCAGTACACCGAAAAATGTAATGCTCAGCAGCCCGAACCTGAAGGGCCCTGAAGTCTGGCTACCTTGGTTCGCTCAGGAAATCAAGGCCAGTAGGTCAGTGGACTAGGTCAAGGTCACACTGTGGGCAGGGCAGCAAATCCCCAGGATCAGTCTTCCCTCCTTTCTCCCCTGCCCTCACCAACCCCAGCTCCCCAGAGAGCCAGGGCCCAGGCGGCAGAGGGCAGGAGATGGTGGACCGTCCATGCATGTCCTCTAAATGGCGGCTGGCAGGGGCCTGGGTGCTTCCTTTCCCCTGGACGGTGCAGGGCTGGCCTGGCAGTGATGTCCTGTCACTTTCAGTTTCATTGACTGTTTTAATTGACACTTAATAATTGCACATATTCAGGGGTGCAGTGTGATATTTCAACACACCTACACAATGAACAGTGATCAGATAAGGGTGATTAGCACTGTCRCTCTGTCCCGGGTGAGGTGGCCAGAGACACCACTTCTCACCTGCACACGTTGGAAGGCTTGTTAGCAAGAGGACAGCAGGAGGCCCCTGTTCTCCACCTGCCTCCCTCAAAGGTACTTACTTCCTTCAGCGTCTGGGGGCCCCTTCAGTCACCTCTCCCGGGCCCAAGGGGACACTCTGCCCAGGCAGTGTAGTCCAGCCTGCTGTCTGGCTGTGGCTCGCCCAATCAGAGGGAGGCTCTGAAAGCTAAATAAAAATCCATCGGAGAGCTGTGAACAATTAATGGGCCAAATACGATACCACGGACAAACAGGGTCTGTGCCAAGTGCAATACCAACCGCGACCAGGAAGGCTGAGCCAGCCGCCGCCGTGCGAAGTTCACGTTTACCCGCCCATCAGCGCTGCCGCTTCCTGACGGCTTCTTTCCCCAGCTCCTTATCTTTGTCCCCCTCTGTCTTGTTCTTCAGCCCCTCTCTTTGTTTCCTTCTCCTCCACGGCACCCACCCCCACTCCAGCTACTACTCAGAATCACAGGAATGTTAGATTCTTCTTTTTTTTTAACTTAAAAAAAAAGTGTACTTTCTGTTACTTTTAAATCAAATGTGTTTACCCAGTCAAGTATCCTTCCTTGTACACCCCAAGAACTCTGTGTCCCGCCACTGATAGTTTCCACTCAGGAGCCCAGGTGTCCTTAATTACAAGGCTCCCCACCCCCACACCCATAACCCCAGCTGCTCAGGAGCCTGAGGTACGAGGAGGATCACAAGTTCAAGGCCAGCCTGGTCGACTCAGAAAGGCGCTGTCTTAGGACTGGGAGTGCAGCTCAGTGGTAGAATGTCCTTGGGTCCCATCCCCAGACTGGGAAAAAATAAAAGGGTATAATTTAGAGAAAGCTTTTTGGAAGAGCCAAACCCTTTCATGAAAGGAATCAGCCCTCCAGGGATGTCTCTCTGTAAACCCGATTTTCATCCTTTCAGCCATGTTTGGAGAATGTTGTGCGCCGGGCAGAGCAGATGGGGCACAGCAGGCCAGGGGTCTTGGGAAGCCCCAGGGAGGGCTCACAGGCACGCCTGGTCCCCTTGGTCCTCTTGGCTCTTGAAGAGCCCGCTGACTTTCTCTCCATCTGTCTGTCTGCCTGCCTGCCCATCCATCAACAGCCTTTCCACCCTGTCTCTGCCAGCCGCTTCTGGTGCTACTCCAGCTGTCTGTCTGTCTGTCCACCTGACTGTCTGCTCTCCTTCAGGACGCCTTCCGTGCCTTCCACCAGGATCTCAACTTTGTGCGCAAGTTCCTGCAGCCCCTGCTGATCGGAGAGCTGGCCCCAGAAGAGCCCAGCCAGGACGGACCTCAGAACGTGAGGGGGACGGTGCTGGAGGGCTTGGGGACATTGCTACATTATGCTGGGGGATGCAGGGTCAGAGCCAGGCATGCCCTCTGGACCTGGCCAGACAGTCACAGTTGTAGCAATGTCCTGCACAAGTCCGGGCTCCAGATAAGACTTGGCCAGGCGCCTGCTGTGCGTTCCCAGGGGAGGCCCTTCCCTGCCCCAGGCCTGGTGGCCCCCACTACAGTCAGGATGGGGTGAGCTGAGTTCTGAGGGTTTCCTCTCCTGTTTCTGGCTCTCTGCTTCTCACCCACCCCACACTCTGTGCGGAGGGGGAAACTTGGTCCTCGGTCAGGCCCCTAGCTCACCCCCTGGCCGGACGCTCCCATGCCTCCATCCTTGCCCTCTGCCCTCACCTCTTGGACCAGGCTCGAGGAGGAGAGGCTGGGACCTGGGAGCTGTGGGAGGCCTCTGGGGAGGCCTCACCTCAGCTCAGCGGCTACTCTGCCGTGGCAGGTCCAGCTGATTGAGGACTTCCGAGCCCTGCGCCAAGCGGCCGAGGACATGAAGCTGTTCGAGGCTGATCCCACCTTCTTCGCCCTCCTGCTGGGCCACATCCTGGCCATGGAGGTGCTGGCTTGGCTCATCGTCTACCTCCTGGGCCCTGGCTGGGTGCCCAGCACCCTTGCTGCCCTCATCCTGGCCATCTCCCAGGTGATCCCCGGGCTACCCAACAGAGAGGCCCAGCACCTGTGGGCACAGGAACGGATTTGCTGTGTGAATGGATACACCAAAGAGTGAGCTGCCCGCGGCCCGTGGGGATTGCTTGCGGTCAAGCCGTGGTCTCCATGAGCCAAGGAAGCTCTTCGCTTAATAAATCCTGTGTAGGAACAGGGCAGAGAGCCCAAGGTCACCACCCCAGGACAGACTTGTGTAGGGGAAGAAAAGGACGATCCCTCCCGCCCACCATAAAGGTCATGGCCCCGTAACACAAGACGGGTTAACGAGAGAAAAGCAAATTTATTTGCTCATCATTTTATGGGACGAGGGAGTCTTCAGAGGGAAGAACCAAAGACCGGGGCAAACTCCCCCTTTGTACACTTGGGGTCCGTGCAGCAGGGCAGCCGTGTAGAACTGGACAGGAAGAGTCGAGCCAATGGAGACGGACGAGTAGGGAAACCCGGCCGGGCCTGTCCAGATTCTCCAGGGCCTCTCTGAGCAGCATTCTTCCCTCCCAGGTGTAGACAGGGCCCTTTCTGGAAGTGGGGGTCTTAGGATCCACTGTTGGATAAGATGCGTCAGAGCAGTTCTTTGTGGCCGCCTCCGAGTCAGGGAGATTGAGAGTCCTATCGGGAGGCCTCGAGGCTGGGCTTCACGGGGGAGGGGCTCTGCTTTCTGTGCCCTGCCCTGGGACATGGCAGCTTCTGTGGCTTGCCTGAGGGGAGAAGGAGCCGGGGACAGGAAGGCAGGAGAGGGCTGGAGAGAAACTTTGCTTTTGAGGCTGGGCTCTGACCTTTGCCAGGCCCTCCACCGCTGCCAGCATTCAGTTACCCTGGTTTGTGAAAACAGGAAGTGGCCCCCAGGGACGTCGAAGTGACGCAGCATCTGCAGTGGGCATAGCCCTGGGAGCTAGAAGAGCCGCAGCTCAGGGCTGGGGTCCCATGCAGCCGGTGCCCTCTTCTGTCCCTAGCATGATTCCCTCCTGCTCTCCCTGACCCTGCCCCTCTCCCCAGGCCCAGTGCTGGTGTCTGCAGCATGACCTGGGCCACGCCTCCATCTTCAGGAAGTCCCGGTGGAACCACGTGGCCCAGCAGTTTGTGATGGGACAGCTGAAGGTGAGGGCCCTGGTGGGATGGTGGCCAGTACCCAAGGAGGGCAGTGCGCCAGGCCTGCCCAGCTGTGTGGGGGCGTGGCCTGGCCCTGCCCCTGAAGCCCCTTCTCCCCCAGGGCTTCTCCGCCCACTGGTGGAACTTCCGCCACTTCCAGCACCATGCCAAGCCCAACATCTTCCACAAGGACCCAGACGTCACCGTGGCACCTGTCTTCCTCCTGGGGGAGTCGTCTGTCGAGGTGGGTGGGGAGGGACATGGACACCCTGAGGCCAGGCCTGCAGCTGAAGGGACCTGGCAGCAACTGAGCTACCCACGGTGGCCCCTTCCAGCCCCTGCCCTCATCCCTACTCGAGCTCCAGTCCCAGCCCCTGTCCCAGGTGCTTCCCTCCCTCCCCACCTCCTACCCAGCTGGGACCAGGAGCCCAGCTGCTAGAATCTAGAGTTGCCTTTGACCTTGGCCCCAGCCAGCCCCCTGACCTTGGCCTGGAGAGCTGCTCTCCCCAGCCGCCGCCTGTCTCCACAGTATGGCAAGAAGAAACGCAGATACCTTCCTTACAACCACCAGCACCTGTACTTCTTCCTGAGTGAGTGTGCATCAGTCCTTCTAGGGGTGGGGACGTGGCAGGGCCATGCCTGAGTCTGCACTGTCCCCCCTGCCGTCCCAAGGCGCTCACACCCTGCCTGCTCCAGGCCTGCAGCCTGGGCTCCCGCTCCCAGCACCAAGCCTTCTGCCTGGCTGCTCCCCCACCCCAGTCAAGCCCTGCACGGAACTTTCCAGGCCCCAGCCAGGATTCCCTTCTGCCCTCACATAGGGTGGTCTGGAGCCCTAGAGCATCTGGGCAGTTTTGGCAAACAGGGACAGGGTGAGGATTCCAGGGCAGGAGCCTGTGGGGCTGTTCCCTGACGTGGGAGTCGGGAAACGGTAGGGCAGGGGTGAGCCGAGGGAACAAGTGTGGACCAGGCCTTGTGGGTGACGACGCAGGGTCGACCCAGCTGGACGGGACCAGTGCCAGCATCCCAGGGGTGTGTGTGGAGGTACAGCCCCCTCTGCCCACTTCCTCGTACCTACCCCAGCCCTGCTCCTGCTCTCTGCCCCTTCTTGCAGTCGGCCCGCCGCTGCTCACCTTGGTGAACTTTGAAGTGGAGAATCTGGCGTACATGCTGGTGTGCCTGCAGTGGACAGTGAGTGGGGAGGCTCCGGACCCGTGGACAGCCGGGGCAGGGCTTCAGCCCCAGTGCAGAGGGTGCCCACGAATGGGGGTGCACGGGGGTGGGGAGCGAGTGTCTGCCTGACTGTGTAGCCTGCAAGTGTTCACAGAGGCACCGAGTGCGTCTCTGTAGGGGCGTCCACAGAGGTCTCTGGGCCGACGGTGCCAGGTGTCTGTCCCAGGCAGGCACATGATAGCATTCCCCTCCGTGGTCAGCCCTGTGAGTTGACAGCACAGGGACCTTGTCCTTTCACCCAGTTGAGAAAGTAGAGACCCAGGGAGGGGCAGTGGCCTATCCAGGGCTCCCAGGCAAATGAAGCCAAAGGTCAGATGGCCCCGGCCCCTCCCTCACCCCCTCCCGCTGGCCGGCCTCCAGACCTCGTCCCTGGAGGCYGCTCAGCATTGCCTCCACCCCCTGCAGGACTTGCTCTGGGCTGCCAGCTTCTACTCCCGCTTCTTCTTGTCCTACGTCCCCTTCTACGGTGTCCCTGGGGCCCTGCTTCTCTTTGTTGCTGTCAGGTATGGCCAGACTCAGGATGGTGGGAGTGGGGAGGTCACACACAAGCAGCAGGCGGCCCTGACCACAGTCCTCCTGGGCAGCATCCACCCCTCCACCACCCTAGCCCACAGCAGCGCCACCGCCCTGGGCTGTCGGGGGAATCAAATAAACATGAGGGGAGGCTGCTGGGGTGGGCAGGTCGGGGGAAGCAGCCTGGCTCGTGGGTCACCCGAGTGTCCACCCCCACGAGCCGGGAGTCTCCGCTCAGCCTTGCAGTGGTCACGGCTCCATTCAGCTGCTTTAAACCCCCGCGAGGGAGCAATTCCCCGACCCCACTGCGCCCAGGGGAAGCTGGGGCCCGGGCCTGGGGACAGGCACACTGCAGCCTGCACTCTCCCACAGGGTCCTGGAGAGCCACTGGTTCGTGTGGATCACACAGATGAACCACATCCCCAAGGAGATCGGCCACGAGAAGCACCGGGACTGGGCCAGCTCTCAGGTGGGCAGTGGGGAGGGCTGGTGATGTGTCCCAGTGGGCAGGGAGGGATGGGGCCGGCCAGGTATGGGAGGCAGGCCCCAGGGGCAGGACCTGAGCCAGCGTCCCTTACCTGCGCCCCCGGCCCCTGGCAGCTGGCAGCCACCTGCAATGTGGAGCCCTCGCTCTTCATCGACTGGTTCAGCGGGCACCTCAACTTCCAGATCGAGCACCAGTGAGTGAGACCTCAGGTCTTGACAGGTAGCGGGTGAGCCCCGGGGCCCAGGAGCCCCCTCCCCACCTTTCATGGGGAGGCCGAGACCAGAGTCCTGGGCTTGCAGGGCCGGGGAGGTGAGGCGTGGCGGGGCTCCCTCTGCCAGCCCTGCTCAAACGCCGGCCGTGTCCCCCCACCCCAGCCTCTTCCCCACCATGCCAAGGCACAACTACCGCAGGGTGGCCCCGCTGGTCAAGGCGCTGTGTGCCAAGCACGGCCTACACTATGAGGTGAAGCCCTTCCTCACCGCCCTGCTGGACATCGTCGGGTAAGGCTCTGCCCAGCCCCTTCCTTCCTGGAGGTTCCGGGGGCCACACTGATCCCCATCCCAGCTCAGCTGCTGAGCACTGGGCCCCTCGTCCACACGGGCCCCCTAAGAACTGGCGACAAGGCCTCTCTGGGTCAGCCGTGCCTCCTCCCTTCTCAGCATTGACTCACAGGGTGAGAATTCTTGGAGCATCTATAAATACCTCAGTGAGCCAGACAGGCGGTCCCTGCCCTCCTGGAGCTGACATTCTAGCAACAGAGAGCAAGTGATTTAAAAGAAAAATGAGTCAACTGCAGAAAAAGTGAACGTGTTCTGGCAAAAAACAAAACAAACAAACAAAAAAACCCAGGAGCAGGTGAGATAGAAAGTAGGCAGGGCTTGCAGTTACAGGATGGCAGATGGGCAGGGTCAAGATGCCAGCTTGTGAGCAGAGACAGAGAGAAGCTGAGAGGGCTGGCCCTGGGGCATCTGGCAGAAGAATATTCCAGGCAAAGAGTACCACCATGCAAAGGCCCTGAGGCAGGAGCATACTGCTGTGTAGGACCTGAGCCTCATCTTGGGACGAGGCTGTGGCTGGGAGCACACTGTGGGCCAGAGCCAAAGCAGAAAGGCAGAGCAGAGGCCCCGGCAGCCTGGAGGTGGGAACACAGATCAGATCGCGGGTCTTCCTCCTCTGGGCCCTGGCACACGCTGTTCCCTTTGCTTGGATGCCCTCCGTTCTCTGCTGCTGTCCAGACTTGAGGTCTCCCCATGTTCTCCCAGCCTGGTCCTCTGAGTCCGTGCCATTCAGCAGAGCACTGTGGAAGCCCTGGCGCGGGGTTTCCTAGCGAGTTGTTGATATGTCTGACTCTTGTGCCTGACTTCAGGTGCCTGGTGGGCCATGTCCTAGGTGTGTTAGGTCACAAGGTCCAGCAGGAGAGGGCAACAGAAACTAGGAGAAGGAGGGACAGGTCCACCGGGGCTCCTACCCCGACTTGGCTTTGTCCACATCCCCCCATCTGCATCCCATCCAGCTCATGTGTGCCCAGGCTGCTCCCTGGCTCCGTTCACCTGCCTGCCTCAGGGGAGGGGACTCCCAGGGGACTGGGGACGCACCACAGGAGCCTGGGGGTGTTGGTGTCCTGTAATTGAGTCTCTGCCCGCCACACCTCCCAGGTCCCTGAAGAAGTCTGGTGACATCTGGCTGGATGCCTACCTCCACCAGTGAGGGCAGCCCCCGGAGGAGAGGAGGGGTAAGGGCCAGGGCCTCAGCAGCCATGAGCCAGACCGCCAGACCGGCCGATGGACAGCCTCATCCTCCGTGCCCAGCCCAGATGCCCTGTGTGTCCTGCAGGCCCTGCTGTCTTTCCCTCCACCCTCTTGCCTGCCTGTTCAGCCGCTCTGCAGCGTGGCTCTGGGCCCAACAGGACCAGGAGTCGAGGGAGGGACCTAAAGCCACGCCGGAGCACAGCATGTTTTCCTAAAGCAAGAAATGGGGGAAACTGTTATTTTTATATAAAAACCGACCCAGATATATTATGGAGCAGAGTGTGGAGTTTGCATGAGTTTGGGGGCTGGGATCTGCCCTGGACGCCCCAGGGGTGTCTGGCTCTGGGTATCCAGTGTCACGGTATCCAGGGAGGTGGGTGGCTGAGGAGTTCCCCTCCCTCTCTGGGTGCTCTGGGTTGGGGGTGGTGACAGCTGGTCTCAGATCCACATCACTCACCAGCAACCTGGCAAGTCCTTCTGGACTTCAGCTCATTTCACTCCTCTGCGGGACAGGACAGGGCTGGTCCAGCAGACGAAGGCACAGGGCTGAGGGCCACGTCCGCAGGCGCCTTCAGGGCCTGGGAAGGGCAGCTGATGTGTTCCTGGACCTGCACCAGCCTTGTTTTGCAGCCCTCCAGGAGATGGGGGCTCAGAGGGCCACGTGCTGTGGGCCACCTGCCCCACTCAGGACCACACCTGGCATCACATGGGGAGGGGCAGTGTGGCCTGTGGCCACCTGAGGCCAGGTGCTGGCCTGCTGTTGCTTCAGTGAATAAGTCAGATCCTTAGGGCCCAGCAGTCCCACCCCTGAGCATCAGGAGTCCGGGAACTGTCCTCGGGCAGGGCATTGCCCTTCACTGGCCCTCGCCTCCTCGTCTGCACAGTGGGTATGGCTGGACGTCCTGGGTTGGGACAGTTCTGGGGAGGGCTGACCCAGGGYTTTGCGTGTGCTAAGCACACACACTTAGCTACGTCCCCAGCCGGGGAGACCTTTGGGTTTCCTCTTGGGGCATCCTGAAGGTGAGAAGAAAGGAGAGGGGAAGTGCCAAGCCCCTCCGCTCTGAGCTCTGGGGATGCTTGGAGAAGTGCTGGCAGCCTTCAATAACAACAGAAAATCTGAGCTGCTGTGCTAGGGTTTCTCTGAGGGCCTTTCTAGCGTGGGAACAGAGGTCACCCCACCAGCTGCAGGGAATGTCCTCCACTCTTTATTAGGGTGCCTATTAGTTTGTGCCGGAGTCCCCTTTGGGAGGTGAAAGGACACAAGTACTGCACTTCTGGTTATATCCTTAGTGGGGGTCCTCTGTGGGCACGGAGCTGGGGACATGCCCTCCCTATACCCTCCATAAGGCAGCCCTGAGCATCTATTTCAGGGAGATTCTGGACTTTTATTCCAGGTCCTGAAGCCCCTAATGTTCGGGTGATTGTGATAGTCCCTGGCACCTGGGGCACCTGCTCTGGGTGGGGAAAGTGCTGCCTGGTTCCATGGGTTCTTGTGGCTCTTGCCCAGGGTCTCGCCTTCTGGGAAGTCCTCCAGGACTCTCCCCCTGCCCGCCTCAACCTGAGGTCACGGTCTCTACACCCAGAACACACCCAGAACGTCGACTGAGTCTTTAACTGCTGAAAGCTGGGGGAAAACCCAGAGCTCCCCACGCCCTCCCTGCCCAAGGCGGTGCCAGCAGGAGCCCCCTGAGCAGGGCCAGGCAGAAGCAGAGGGGGATGCTCATGAGCAGCCAGAGCCACGCAGCCCACCCTGGTCCACTCCATGTGGCTTCCACCTGCTCTTTCCTGGGGTGGGAATGGGTGGGGGGCCAATTCTAGTGTGGGAACAGAGGTCACTGGGAGAGGTGGGAGTGGGTGGGGGACCAATTCCGGCCTCTGCCAGGACTCAAAAGCTGTGTGACCTTGGGAAGTGATTCAGCCCCAGCCGTAGTCCCACTTTGGAAGTGATGGGAAAGAAAAGGGATGCGGCAGGAAGGCTCCTGGTCAAGAGACCGGCAACAGGGCCTGGAAGTTCTCTAGGAGTTTTATGCACAGTCCCAGGCCCTGAGCTCGCTACTTGCTCTGTGACCTGAGACAAACCTTTGGCCTTATCTGAGCCTCATTTTCATTCTGTGGGTAGGATTGGATGCCCCTTGAAAGGTACTTGCTGCCTCAAGTGCCAACTCTATGCCCAGACCTGTCCCACCTGCAGGGTTTCTGCACAGGCTGTCTCCTCTGTGGACAGTCCCCCTCACATCTCCACTTGTCCAAACCTGCTGACTCCTGGTGTCACGTGGACACTGTGAGCAGGGAGGGCTCTGGACGGTGTTCCCTTCACCCCCTACCTCGCAGGGTTTGGTCCACAGATGGTCAGCAGAGTTCCATGGTGGCACATGCCCGTGAGCCCAAAGATTTGGGAGGCTGGGGCAGGAGATTCATCAACTCAAGGCCAGACTTAGTAGTTCAGCAAGGCCCTAAGCAACTTAGCAAGACCCTGTCTCAAAAAATAAAATAAAACTGGGGGTGTAGCTCAGCAGTAAAGTCTCCAGTACCCCCGAAAGAGTTAACACCCTGGGTGGGGTGCGGGGACATGGGACACAGTATGCTCCTGCCTGAGGGACCACTGAGCCTGCAGCGCCACCCAGGGGCCCCCGGAACACCTGCACCACTGTGGGGTGGGCTGTGCTCCATGCTGCCTCTGGCGGTTGGTGGCCTCTGGTGCTGCCTTGGGACGATTTGCATTCCTGTCTGTAAATCAGGAATCAGCCAATAATGTGCTTGAAGGACCTTTGGGGACACCCTCTGTCCTTGGTGACTACCCCCAGGTCCCCCTCTACTGCCTGAAATCCATCACTGACAGGTCATCTTTGCCCTTGTCCCCTTCCTTCCCCATGCTAGAGCCCCTGGGGACAGGCCACTCCCCACTCCAGCAGAGCTCCCCTTCCCTATCTATAGGACTCCACTTATTCAGTCACAGGGTTTGTAAAAGGAAGGCAGGAAAGACCTTGGTGGGGCCTCTGAGACACGTCTGAGACATTTTTATTATCTGTTCCTTCAACCAAACAACATCTAAGTCTCCAGCCCTGGCCCTTGTCCTGTGGGAGTGACAGTGATGGAGAAAATGCTTTGTGCCAGGACAGATCGTGAATCTATCCCATGCTCACTTCCTGGGATACCTCCCCGCGGCCAGTATCCGCCTCTTCGGAGCTCCAGCTTCCTGGCACTAATTCTCTCAGATAATTGCCATTGGACCGCATGATTTGGAAGAAAGACCTAATTGCTTTCAAAATCCGGAGAAAGGCATCGCTAATGGCAGAGGGCAGGGACGCGACCCCTTAGCATGCTGGGTGGCTGGCTGCACGTTCCTGTGTGCCTGGAAACAGAAGGTGGTCAACCAGCACTGACATCCGGGGCCTGCAGTGAGCCTTGTCCTCTGGCCT